GACCAGCCTCGCACCCCTTCGTCATCTATTAGGCTGGCGCAGATGTATTTTTAATACATTGTTTCCAGTTTAGGATGTTGAACGCTAGATCTTCTTGACTCGATTCATGGGTTTTGCTTGTGTCTCTGTTTTTTTGACTAGGCAACCCATTCTATTATCTCCAAATGAGGGTACAGCTCTAAAACTCAGTTTTATGGTTCTGAGGCCGGCTGGTAGTCAGGTTTCCCGAACTCTGTGGTAGCTCTCAGAGAGACTGATTCCATCAACAGCTGAAAAATATCAGAGTACTAACAGTGCCATGTTGCGCATGGATGGTGTCCCTGTTTGTACTTTTGGTGTGCATTGCCAAGGCCACATTGGAGCCCTTTGTTACGGCTTAGGGTTTATTAGTGGAAATGAGGCAATTGCTTGAGCTATAGAACAGTGTACTGAGTACTATCAATGTTTCGAGTCAAGTTCTTTAAGAAATTTAAAAAAGGAATAAAGTAACAAAAACTATAAAACACAAAAAACCACAGTCATCACCAAGTTCGCTAAACCTATCATTCACCAATATTTGTGGTCTTCGAAGTAACTTTTCTTCTGTTGAGTCTTATCTCTTTCAAAGTTCACCAGACCTGCTTGCTCTTTGTGAGACTAATTTGAGTTCATCTGTCTCATCTTGTGATCTTAGTGTTGATGGTTATCTTCCTTTAATTCGTAAAGACTCCAATAGTCACATGCTTGGCCTGGGCATTTACATTCGTAAGAATTCACCCATTTGTCGGGAAACTAGGTTTGAATCCACAGACTACTCTTTTATGTGCTTTCGTTTAGCACCACTTAACTCTATCACCTTTCTCTTTGTTCTATATCGCTCTCCCTCATCCCAAGACTGCACTCTTCTTGATGTTATTTCTGATTATATTGACCAAGCCCTCATTCTTTATCCATCAGCCAATATTGTTATCGGTGACTTTAATGTTCATCACACTGAATGGCTTGGCTCTAGTGTCAGTGACTCTGCAGGCATTAAGGCCCACAACTTTTGTCTTTCTCAATCCCTAACTCAAATAGTCAACTTTCCAACTCGCTTTCTAGACAACCCGAATCATTTACCTTCTCTACTCGACTTATGTCTTGTTTCTGATCCTAGTCAGTGTTCAGTTTCTTCACACTCACCCTTAGGTGCGTCTGATCATGGTTTGGTCTCTCTAAAACTATTATCTCATTCTTTTTAGCCATTAGAATCCCCCTATCATCGTACATCTTACAACTACCGTAAAGCTGACTGGGACTCTTTTCGTGACTTTCTTCGTGATGGCCCCTGGGTAGAAATCTTTCGTCTCCCTGTTGACAAATGTGCTTCTTACATAACTTCGTGGATTCAGGCTGGCATGGAATCCTTTATTCCCTCTCGACGATTCCAGGTCAAGCCTCACTCTTCTCCATGGTTTTCCTCACATTGTGCTGCTGCAACTGCCAATCGAAACCATTACTTCCATATCTATCAGCAAAACAATTCTCCAGAAAACAGACATCTGTTTACTACTGCTAAGAACCATTGTAAAAAGGTTTTGTCTAACGCCAAAACCCGCTATTCTCAGATCATGAAATCTCGTATTTCATCACAAAAATTAGGCTCTCGTGACTTCTGGAGAATCTTTAATAGTATCAATAATAAGGGCAAGTCTGTAATTCCACCTCTTTTGTACGGTTCAGACTTTGTCACCTCACCTAAAGACAAAACTGAATTGTTTGCCAAGAACTTTTCATCAATATCATCTCTTGATGCCACTAGTTGCGTTTTACCTGATATACCCGTCAAACAGGTTGATCCATTGCTCGACATTCGTATCACTCCAGCTTCTGTATCTAAAGTGATTTCCCGCTTAGACTCTTCTACAGCTTGCGGCCCGGACAACATACCTGTTATAGTCTTGCAGAAGTGTTCTCCTGAGCTGTCGTCTATCTTTTCAAAACTATTCAACAAGTGCTTATCAGAGTCTTGTTTTCCAGCCTGCTGGAAAGCAGCATCTGTTATCCCTATTTTTAAAAATTCTGGTGAGCGATCTGACTCATCTAACTACCGTCCCATTAGTCTTCTTCCTATCATAAGCAAGGTTTTTGAATATTTAATTAACAAACACTTAATCTCTCATCTCGAATCTCATACTTACGAATCAACCTACTTTCTGATCATCAGTATGGATTTCGATCTTCTCGTTCTACGGCTGATTTGCTATCAGTAATAACCGATAGGTTTTATCGCGCATTAGATAAAGGTGGAGAGGTTAAGGCCATTGCTCTTGACATTTCTAAAGCGTTTGATAAAGTTTGGCATGCTGGTATCCTCCATAAGCTTTCTTCTTATGGTGTATCTGGAAACATCTTTAAGATTATTGAATCCTTCCTTTCCAATCGTAGTATAAAAGTTGTCCTTGATGGACAGCACTCTTCTTCTTATTCTGTAACATCAGGGGTTCCCCAAGGTTCAATCCTTGGCCCTATACTCTTTTTAATTTACATTAACGATCTTCCAGATATTCTCACATCTAAGGTGGCATTGTTCGCTGATACTATCATTTATTCTTGTCACGATAAGAAGCCAACTCCCTCTGATTGCTTGCAGGGGGCATCTGAGCTCAAAAAGGATCTCACTTCTGCTACAGCATGGGGCTCGCAGTGGCTGGTGAACTTTTATTCAGATAAAACTCAATTTTTTTCGGCCAATCGTTATCGCAATAATTTAGACCTTCCTATATTTATGGACGGTAATATACTCGATGAGTCTTCTACCCTTCATCTCCTAGGATTAGTTCTTCTGATCTTTCTTGGTAACCATATATCAAATCTATTGCAAAATTAACATCTGCTAAAATTGCATCTCTTTATAGAGCTCGACACTTTCTTACTCTGGATTCTATTCTCTATCTCTATAAATCTCAAATCCGGCCTTGTATGGAATACTGTTGCCATATCTGGGACAGATCTTCTAATGATGCCCTTTCTTTTTTAGACAAGGTGCAAAAACGCATTGTAAACATTATCACATGTTGTAATGTTGCTTCTCTTTCTCTTTTCTACAAATACTATAATGGGCACTGCTCTAAAGAGCTAGCGTCTCTTGTGCCATCTACTAAAATTCATTCTCGTGTTACTCGTCATTCAATTAAGTCTCATCCTTTTTCTGTTACTGTTCCTAAGTGCTCCAAAAACTCTTATTCGTCTAGTTTTTTTCCTCGAACATCAGTTCTTTGGAATTGGCTTCCTTCATCTTTCTTTCCTGATTCATATAATTTGCAATATTTTAAGTCGTCTGTCAATCGTTATCTTGCTCTACAATCTTCATCTTTTCTCTTCCAGTAACTTCCAACACTAATTAGTGGTTGCTTGCAACTTTGTTGGAAGCGAAGATAATTAAAAAAAAAAAAAAAACTTCATAATTAAGATGAATATCATCAACATAATTCCTAAACGATTCTCCAATATTGAGTTGAATATCTATATTTGTAAAACTGGGTAATTTGGAGAGAACATGTTCTGGTACAAATGGATATATGCCAGTAGCCTTAAATCCTGCTTGGAGATTATGTTCTAGATTTTCTTTACCAACATTAAGAGTAGATTTAATGAGCTGCGTAAACAAATTTTTTGGCAGGTTGTTAACCTTTTTTCCTCTGGATGTTTTACGCCATTGATTAAGAACTGACCTCCAATCAGCTTTTAAACTCAAGAAATATCCAACATTGAAAGTTTGTAAAAGGTGTGTGGAATTGGGTACCAAACATATAAATGTTATATTATGCTTTTCACATATATTTAAGGCTTTTAAAGATATATGAGCACTTATATTATTGGAAATCAGAATTTTTTACCTTCCTTATTTATAATATTTGGAACAAAGTGATTTAACAGCCACTCTTCAAATATTTAAATTTCCATCCAGCCACTGCAAGAAGTTGCCATTCTTGATCCTTCCGGTGCGTTGAAAAGCCATTCAGACCAACTGTGTTTTCCTTTAACAATGAAAAATGGTGGAATTAGTTTTCCTGAGGCATTTCCACAAAAAACAACAGTGTAACAAGTTTTTGTTGTGTTTCTTATATGTTCTGGATGGCAAGAGAATCAACGAAAAATAAGTTTTTTTTTTCCAGGGTCATCATGAAACCCTGTTTCATCCATATTGTAAATGTTATCTGGCGTTACTCCATTTAATTCCTTCTCTAGATTTTGAAAAAATAACTTTATTTGACAATAATTATTCTGTGCACGTTTCCTTGAAATACAATGAGATAAAGTTTACATCACTCCCACCCTGGTGTAAACTTTATCTTGGTTTACACCAAGATAAAGTTTACACCACTCCCAACCTGGTCGGTTATCTTTAAACTGTTGTATACTTTTTCCACTATCATCCAGATAGATTATGACAATACTTTTAAAATCATTAATTCCAATTGGTATACCTTTGTCACTTAAATAAAGTAAGTGATTTTCAAAACAAAGTTCCTCATCAATGCTGAGGGCAATAGGGCGCCCTACTGATTTACAGTGTTTACTTTTTAGCTTATAAAATAATGTTGCTTTAGGTACTTAGATTAAATTTTAGAAGCTTCACCAATCGACATTTTTTCTAATTTAATTTTGGCTAAAGCCTCTTGAAGTGTAGAATTGGTGTAATTAGATTTAGTGTCATATTTTCTTGTGCCAGGATGAGTTGTCGAACATTTTCTTGAGGAAAACATTATTTTTGAGAAATAAAATTTAATTTTCTTTGGTCAAACTTTTGTAAAAAAAGATAATTCATCATATTATTCTTTGTTAAAGCAACAGGCAAAGAAAATACCAAAGAAAAAAATTTAAAGTTACCCAGAATGACTGTAACAGTGTTACAAAAAAAAAAGGCGGACTGCAAGGAGGTTTAATAAAAGTTTATTAAAGCTCCTTGGCGGACTGTTACAGTTTTTTACATCCCCCTCCCCCACCTCCCACAAACTCTTTCCAATAAAAATCGGTCGGCCACTATCCTTGTCCCTACCTTACCCTCTGTAGACAACCTTTGTTTTTATCAACTAAGCGTAAATAATTTAGAAAATAGTTGATGAAATTACAATTTTTATTCAAGACATTGTCTTCAATATTTTTGTGTGAAAAATGATGAAATGACAGAAGATTTTGACGAAACTGATTGTTTTGTCAAAAAAAATTATATAGATGCTGCAAAATCAAAAACAAATGGAGTTATGCCTTCTACAAATTATGAATTTGAAAAAAAAGATAATTTAATAACAATTAAAGATGATTTAGAAGTACTAAAATTGCATGATAACTTGCCATTCCGATCTCCTATGGAATCAAACGAGTCCTTCAATCAGCCCAGAAATGTTTTGTGTAAAACTATAGATGAATCAAATTGTTGTTTCAAAGATGAAATCGAGCAAAGTCGTATTTTTTTAAAAGAATCTGAGTCTTGGATGTGTTTTGTTAATGAAGAATTTATAAATCACGATTATATTACACAAAAAAACATTGATCATAGTAATTTGGAAACTAAATTTGAAAAAATCTATGTAAAAGATGATCATACTTTTAATACACATGTTTTGTTTTGTGATTTACATATAAATTCACTTCCACACGAGTTACTACTTAGAATTTTTTCGTTTTTTTCTCAAAGAGAACTTTGTTTATTCGTTGCTCCTGTGTGTTCATTATGGTTTAGCTTGACAAAGGATTCTTCGTTTTGGGATTCCATACATTCTGTGGATTATGAAGACGTTAGCAGTTCTTTATTATGTAAAGTACTTGTTTCTTGGTGCCGTCATGTAACAACACTTGAGCTTGACAAAAGATGTGATCTTTCATATAATGATTTTCAATTAATTTTTCAAAACTGTTCTAATATAAATAATTTATCATTAGTGTTTTGCTCACAAATTAATGCTGATATCTTTAGTTTAGTTGGAAAATATTTAAAAGAATTAAACTCTATAAGTATCGAAGGTTGCCATGAAGTTTCAGATCATTCACTTTATCATTTGATAGGGTTACCTCTTAAACACTTTAATTTAGCTTATTGTAACAGGATAAGTGATGATGGAGCCATTTTTATTGCTAGAAATTTTTCAAGTTTGTTTTTTATTAATCTTGATGGCGTTCAGTGGATTACAGAAAGTTTTATTGAAGTTCTAGTGCAAAAACATTTTCATTCACTTGAAGAAATTTTTTTGGATGGAGAAAATTTAACAGACTACACTTTGTGCTTGTTATCGAAATGTAGGCAATTGAGGTGAAATATATTTTACTTATTTATATATTATAAAAAAGTATATTAACTAAATTTTTCTTGTACAACAAAACTGCAAATTTACTAATGACTTTAACCGTATTAACCAATAAAGTTAAATGAGTTTTTGCAGAAAAAATAAAGCATTCTTTAAATTATTTTTAAAATTCATTTAACAAGGTCAGTTATTATTTTATATGAAACAGTGAAGTATTACAAGACTTATGCCAGGTTTAATGACGCAAAAAAAGTTAGTTATACAGTTTTTTGTTTTTTTCTTTCTATACTTTATTAAACAGTCTGATTTGTTGCATTTTTCAAATTTTGCATTTGCAAAATTTAATTGACAAATTTTGCATTTGCAAAATTTAATTGACAAATTTTGCATTTGCAAAATTTAATTGACAAATTTTGCATTTGCAAAATTTGTCATGTTAAAGTTTCTTCTAGTTAGATTATGATAAGTTGCCTCAACCATACTATTAGAGATGCACAGAAAATTTCTTTAGTGGTAAACAGGGTATTTTTAGTGACCACACCCCTTGGTTATCTAATATAATAGAATAGATGTAAACCTGTGTTATATTGTTTCCTGAATAGGATGAAGAATACTGAATTTCCTTGTCTCAAATCATAGGTCATTTTTGTGCCTCTTTGCTAATGGCTATGCAACATTTTTTGTTATTTCCTAATTAGTTTACAGCTTTAAAATGCAGTTTAATGGTTCTGAGGCTAACAGTTTTTAATGTTTTTCAAAACTCTTTGTTAGTTCTTAGTGAGGCTGATTTCATCAATAGCTGTAAAACATCAGAGTATTAACATGCATAGATGGGTCTTTGTTAATATTTTTGTTGAGCATTTTGAAGACCTTAAAAAGAAACAATTGATACAACTTTGAGTTGATTAATAAGAGTCATCTGCATAACTCTAATTGCTTAAGGTAACATGCACTAACATGTTACCCTAAGCAATTAGCTATGTTTACCACTGTATGGAGATACAAGTTAAGCACAATACTTCCAGAGGCCTAGGTTGGATTTTAGATTCCTATTGTGATTTTCTTTGATAGTCCTTGAATGATATATTTTGAATGATATATGCAGTCCATGAGTTAGGAAAAATGCTGGCCAATAAGTTATTGACCCGAAGCTGTTTTTGGTCAACATTAGGTTGGCACCTAAACTTATAAAGATAATTTTAGGTTTTACATTTTATTTATTTGGTTACATTTTGACTGGTTAGAATACTTTAAATCTGGCATCTATGACAGTGTCAGGGTTTATCAAAGACTTGGTAGTTTTTTTATTATTCTCTGATTAGTAAATTTTCTTTTATTTATACTCTTAGATTTATTCATATTAAAAGTACCTAATTTTTTGTTAAAAAGTTTTTAATATATTTATTTAGCTTATTTGTATTAGTGCTTGTGTTTAGTGTTTGTATAATTGAACTTGAGTTTTTGTTTATTATTCTTTAACAATATTCTAATAGTGGTATGATAAGACAATAGTAAAAAATGTATTATAAAGTTTTAAAATATTAAAAAAATAGAAACTATTTTTATAATATTTTAAGATAGTTTTAAAATGTTACATAAATTATAAAGTTATTTTAAAATGCATTTTTTACTACTATTTTTGTATTACTTTTTTCATATACATTAGTGTTTTACAAATTTGGGTGTGGGTGAGACCTTTTTTTACTCCATTACAGAATAAGTGTGAATTGCATGGTAAAATATAAATGGCGATGATGTTTATCTGACGGGATAAACTAGTTATTGGTGTTGAGCCTTTTCGAAACACTAGTAATAATAAACACAATTCTGAAAAGATGTTTATTGCTTACCAATATACTAATTACATTTATAGAAAAGCATTAATGCTTTTATTTTTCTTACATCTATCATTTTATTTTTTATTATTTTTTAGTAGCGTTTACTCTATTTTAAATATAATTACTCTATATATGATTACTCTGCTATGGTTTTATACTTGATAACATTTTTGTTTTATACTTGATAACATTTTTGTTTTATACTTGATAACATTTTTGTTTTATACTTGGTAACATTTTTGTTTTATACATTTTTGTTTTTGGATTAGTAATACTTGTTTTGTTTGGAAATATTTAATTTAGATTTATGTAAAATATTTAATTTAGATTTATGTGTTATACTTATATGTTAGAGATTGAACGCCAGATTTGCTTAACAAAGATATGCTTTTTCTCTGCATTTGTTAACAAAGATTTACTTTTCTAGACAGAGGCTAATAGAATTAAACTATAACTAAAACTACCACTGATATGGGGCGATGGTGTCTCGATAAAAGTACTTACTTGTCTTAAAAAAAAGTACTATTGTCTTGTTGCAGGCCACAGGCTATGCAACTCTTCCTGTTATCTCCTAATTATGGTACAGCTCTAAAACTCAGTTTAAAGGTTCTGAGGTTGTCTGGTAGTGAGGTTTCTGTAAAAATTAAAGTATTCACAGTGTTATGTTGTGCATAGCTGGTGTCCCTGTTTGTGCCTAAATTAGATAGTTAACTTTGTGACTCATTTTCTAGAAAACCATAGTCACTTACCTTCATTCCATGATTTGTGTCTTTTCTCTGACCTTAGCTTTTGTTCAGTTTCTCCTTGTTTGCCTTTTTTTTCTATAAGTTTCTAAATTTCTCAAAATCTTTTATTTTGTACCTCTTCTTCAGACTCACCCTATCACCATACTACTTACTACAATTATAAAGCTGACTGAATTTTTTTCGTGATTTTTTTGTGTGCCAGTTCTTAAGCTAATGTCTTTAGTCTCTTTGTTGATAATTGCACCTCATATAAAATCTTCTGGATCCAGGCAGATATGAAAGCTTTTATTGTTTAGTTTCAAGTCTCTCTGTAGATGCTTATATTTCTAATCATATACTCTTAGGTGCTTAATACACGGGACGTTTTTTAAATTTTTGAAAATTTTCTTAACTCACCCCAAACTTAATAAGACAACCCCGTTTATTAATTTTTACTTGATAGTAATAAAAAAACAACATCGACCTTTGAAAAATCTTGTAGATCTCGATTTGTCAAAAATTAGGTTGTAGTTTGTTTCTCACTATAATATAAAGTTTATAAGCATATTAAATCCTATTGAAATTATGATGAAACAGCTGTTTAAAAATGCGCATTTGACCGCAAATCACATTTGAAAATTGTTGTATTCGTGTTTTGTCTAAAATTCTGAAAGAAAATTGTAAATTGTTTTATTCCTGTTCTGTATAAAATTCTGATCCACCCTTTTATAAGGATCCCCTGTTTATTAGATTTGGACCGAAATTCCCAACATCCTTTTTTTCCCAAAAAACCTATCCCCCTCTCCCTTACGACATTCTAAGTGTATTAAATCTTCTATTTTATCTCAGAGGTTATGTTCTTGAGACCGTTTGTAAAATCTTTAACAGTGTCATTTTAAAATTTTGTTAGCTCTTCCAAGGATAAGGTAGAATTATTTGGAAAAAACTTTTCTTATATCTGTTGGCTACACTCTTCCTGTCATTTCAGTCGTTCCAATCATCGCAAAATTTGCAATCATAAGAAACGAAGAAACCTTGCAACAAAGAAACCCTAAAAAATTCTTTTTTTAAAAAAAATAGAGACATCAAAACGGTAGGATAAGTAAATATGCAATTTGTTTTGAAATTTGATTTTACTAAAGTTCACTGTAATTTTATTTGTTGGATCCTAAATTAACTTGTTGATGGCTAATAGGCTTCAACTTTACAATAATTTAGGTTGCTATAGTGTACTTTTTTAATGTTGTTTGTAATGGAATATAAAAAAAATTGCTAATGGAATATTATAAATCCCATAATCCCATAAAAAAATTCCTAATGGAATATTATAATCCCATATATTTAATAAAAAGTGGCTTTTAATATATATTTAACTATTATATATCAAATATTGGATATAGAAATATATATCGAATAAATATTATTTATATATTATTACGCATTTAGAGTCCTGAGTTTTTCATTTTGTACCCTGATGACATCAGAGACACTATTATTTACATCTCAGTTTTCAAAACTAAAACACTTAAAGTTACGTAAAGGGATCAACTTTACTAAAGAATCTTTAGTTTACTTTTTAAAAAGTATGTCAGAAGAACAAGCTTCAAAATTTAGGTATTTGAACTTTGGAGAGTGTGTTTCAATAACAGATGAATGTCTTATGTACATTGGGAAGAGGTAATCTCTATTTTTTTATATTTTTATTTATATTTTCTCGAAAATCTGATATCTTAACAGTACAATGAAACATTTTTATAATTTCTGTCGAATTTTTTTAGATTTTTTAACATAATAGAGTTGGATCTTTCTTGGTGTTGGGATGTATCTGATGAAGGGTTGTCCTTTATAATAAACAATTGCTGTCATCTGAAGAAGCTTCACCTACAAGGCATGCATGAAATTTGTGGATCTCATTTCTCTAAAATTGCGAGCTCTTTGAAAAAACTCGTATTTTTAGATTTAAGACAATGTAATAAAGTTGACGATGATTTTATCGATGGCTTGGTCAAGTGTATGGAGAATTTAGTGGTTCTAAATTATTATGGAGATATAGTTGTTAACCGAAGTAATAAAAAAATGCACTTGAGTTGAGAAATTGGTTGGTGATAAAGTGAGCATTCTCGCTTTTTCGTAAATCTTTTGCTTTCATTTGTTATCAGCTGTATTCATTAAGGCACCTGAATTTCTTAAGCATTTGAATTGCCTAAATTTTCCATGAAACCTGAAAACACACATAACTTTAGTGTAAAATGGAAATTTTAAGCTCTGCATTATTATGGCGCTTATAGGCTGAAAATATCAATAACTCATTAAATAGAAGTAACTATAGTGATTCATAGGCTAAAAATATCAATAATTCATTAAATAGAAGTAACTAAAGCGATCCAATAGTTTTTTGTAATCAAAATGCCTTAAGCAGACGTTTGGAAACCGATTCAACATATTTTAAACGAAATCCGAGTTTAAACGTTACATTATAGTTTCAACCCCTCGTTGTTTCTTTATAGTTTTTGCTTTAAAATATTTTTTTTATTTTAAAAAAGTGTTTACGATGGGTATTTATATCGCATATGTTTAACGTAAATTACTAAAAACTCTTTGAAAAAACGGAATAATACTGAGGATAGAAACAATAAAAATAAACAATCTAAACATTCGTAACTGTTAGTAAAAAACGGATAACTGAAAACCTTAATTTAGCTAGAAATTCGTTTTAAAAGATCATGTGGTTAGCAAAACCTATGAAAACCTTGTTAAAGTCTGCGATTAAATGTTTTAAAAGATTCATTTTAACTATGTTCCAGTTAAACTGTCATTAATTCGTACGTTTTCTTATGAATGTATAAAATGGGTGAAAGTTTATCAAGCTGTAAACACCGAAATAGTCGCTTATTACCGACAATTTAAAAAATATAAATAAGTCATTGTTTTATTCTACAAAATAACTATTTCAAAAACATCAAAAACTTACTTTTTTATTGATATAGCAATATAGTTATAAGCATTTCTAGCTAAAATTACAAAACATTGTTTTTATTAAAGTAATAACACTAAGAAGAAATCCTTTTTTTATCAAAATATATCTTATTTCAAGCGGATGACAGTGTTTTAAATCATCACGTTACATTTGATTAAAAAGACTATTTAAACAATTTAGCGTAAATAAAAAAATGTTTTCTAAATAACTGAATTGTTATTCGCCATTTATTTATTTTATGGTTATTAGGTGCTATTAGAAGTCCTTACTTTCTTAACTCTTAGTTTTGAGCCAGAACTCTAATTACCGCACTACGGCTGCACATGAGTTGAAGCTCCATCATTATTTAATTGTTCCTAGTTATAGGGGTAGACGGAGCAAGATGACAAATGTTTAGAATATCCTGAGTATTTGCAAAACTATATAGCATAAAGCAATAATACTTTGACAGTACGCTCCTTTTGTCTTAAAGACTTATTGCTTGCATAAGCTTTCAGGTTGCAAGTAGAAAAAATTAGTAAAAATTAAAATGTAAAGTTCATAAACTTGTCATCCGACCGCGTGATCGGGGCGAGATGACTTTCTATGCGTTTTCTGTCTCAAACTTAAATTAAAGAATGTAAGATGCAACAGAGGAAGGGGGGGGGGGGAGGATAATTTTATAAATCTGGAATTTTACCTACATAATATATGGATAACCCCTGATCTTTTCATGTTTAATTAATAACAAAGAAAACACTTGTATAACCTTGCAAACAAACTATTGTATACAGGAGTTTATTTTAACCCCCCTCCCCTATATTGCATCTTGTACATTTTTATACAATGCGTACAAATGCTTGAAGGTCTTATTCCACAGCCCTTTCCCCCTACTCTCCCCTCAACTGTAGTTACGTGTATAGACAAAATTAATACCGAAAATAATTCTGAGAAATAAAACCCTAAACTTGAGGAATTTATTACAATATCATTAACATATCCTCAACTTCAGTATTGGATGGGGCAACCACATGTGCACCTGATTGCGCTTCAAGCTTGTCTGTGATCCGTGATATATCTTGTACTCTAAACAAGATCTTTTTGAATTCATTTTTGTTCACTAAAAATAGAAATACTGAACTTGATTTAGCTTAAAAAACCGGAAAACCGAAAAATAAATGAACAGAGCATTCGTTAAGAACAAAAAGGAGGAAAATATAAGTATCAATGTAGTTTCTACTTTGCAAATATTTATTGTATTTTTTTTTTAAAACTGTAATTTAAAAATAAATAAATAATAAAAATATATGTAATAAAAATATAGGTAAGGCAGGTAAGGCTCTACTCAGTCCTGTTTTGTAACAGTTTAAGGTAGGAAAGGAGTTAATTTGTAAAAGTTTACTTCACATTTTCCATAGTATTATTTTAATTAAGAAACAATACTAAGGAAAATTGTCTAGGTAAAACAAGTGTGGAACTACAGACAAATAATTTCAAAACAAAAATATCTGTTGAATGACCTCAGTGAAAATGTGCATTATCATAATGGAAACACTTTATCAAATAGTGATTATGTTAATTTAAATTAGCTAAAACCCATTCAAGTGAAGAGTTAGCAGAAGCTACAGTTGTACTTGCAAATCAGCTTCTGAAAATTTGGCAATAAGTATTAAAATATTTTCTAACGATCAAACACAACAAACAAAAGTGATAAATATCAGCCGATTATGATGTTTGCTGATCAAGCTTCATAAATTTGATTTAAATAAAATTCATTGTAGTTTGAGTGATTTTCAATATCAGGTTATTATTATTTTCAATTTCAGGTTATTATTATTATTAAATTAATCTCTGATGCAAAATGCAGACATTTTTCCCCATTAAAAACATACCTAAAATCAAAAGTAGATTGTTACTCAGATGGCTTTGCATGTTACAGAAACATATACAAAGTGTAGTTTACAGAATACGGTTAACCATACTTTGTTCCGAATTTTGAAACTAAAGCTTGAGCAGCTTCAGAATTTAAATAAAGTTGTGGCAAGTGGATCAATTTATTTTTTCTTTTGAAATGTAGCGTGGATGTTGTCTTCAAAAAGTATTTACAATCAAAAACTTAATGATACTGATCTTATTACTTAAATGGAGAATGAATAATTGAATGAATAAATAATCAGTACTTTAAACTGCAATAGTTTCTTTGAAGTTAAGAATATGGAATAGAAACATCTGGAATAATCCAAAACCATCTAGCACTCATTTATGTAGATTTCTTAAACTACAATGCTAAAAGTGAACTCATTGCAGAAGAAAAAATATAAGATAATCTTAGAAAACAAATTTAAAATCTAGACTCTAGATTTTAAATTTATTTTCTAAAGCTCCGTAAAAGTTAAAATTGCTGTTGAATTAACTACGCTTGATGAAATATTGGTAAATGCTATCATGGCTTTAAGTTCATAGCAGTTGTAAAATCTTTGTTTTGTAAAGCCAAGTGAGATCTAGTAAAAACTAGAATGTTTAATCCTGATGAAAATGCTCTAAAAATGCGAATATCTATAATAAATTGTTGGAGTAGAACTATTCTACACTTAGGATATAAAATAAAAACTAAAAAATATTATGCAAGGTCAAAAGAACATAAGCTTTATGTTATTGAGCAAAGAAGGTTAAGTCTGTAAGTGAGATCAGTCATAAATGCCAAAAAAATGTCTACGGTTCCTCAAACACAGATAAAAAACAGGTTTTTCTGTACAGCAGCTTGTTTTGAACAATGTTATGGACAGTCTCAACACTCGCATTCACTTTTTCACTTATCTTTTCAAAATTTGTACGCTTATTACACTGAATTAACGTGTCAATCCGATATTTGAGAAAAGAAGTCCCAAATTTTATCCGGTCGTCCACTGCGTTGCTTGTAAGAAATTTTTGTAGGCCAATTTGGCTGTTTTTCCATTTCGTGAGGTTAGAATTATTTTGGACAAATAATATAATTTTTATCTAAAATTCAATTCAACAGAGAAGATAAATATATATTATCTAAAGTATGTACCAAGATCTTCATAACGAAATAAAACTTTAGTTATAAGTTCTGAAAGCATAACATATAAAATACATTGCATAATAAAAAGAAATCTTATAAAATAATTCATTTAACCAGCACCTCTGGTAAGACCATTAAAAATACGCCATTTCAGTAAGAAACCCATTTAACATAACATATAAAACATATATATTTTGACAATACAATAAATTATTTTAAAATACTCTTATAAAATGCAACATTTACAGCAGGCATATACTTGAACAGATTTTGAAGGACGTTGGATTTATTATTTGAAATTTGAACACCCTTATTCATGGAAGTAAACATTATTATCTCTGCCATGACTAAGATTTTAGATTGTTTACTCATGCTTTTGAAGAAACATTATAACATGATTTTCTGTAGTATACATGAATGCTAGATGCTTTATCTAGATATAGGGATCAAGCTTAAATTTAAAAAAGCCTGCAAAAGCTAAAAAATGTCTGAAATTCAATTTCTTCATTTCGTAGACTGAAATATTTTTTTGAAGAGCAAGAATTGCTCTGATTAAACCAAGGGGACTAAATATTTCAACGGGAGCGAGTGCTCAATCAATTTGACTGTGGATATTATCAACCTATTTTATACTAAAGTTCCCTGGTCATAACTTTGTTAAATTGCTCTGATTTTTTGGGTAACATATTACAAACCAAAACTTAACAAATATATGTTTTCATTTGTCATCACTAATCTTTTTTGTGCCTTTAAATTTACAAGAATTTAACATTTTCTTTTTGGTTACAGACTTACATGAAATATTTCCTCCCTTTCTATTTTTATACGGCTAATTAGATTGTCTTAGCTGCTTTCTCACATTCTGTATCCAAGTTTTAGGTGGTGACTTTCGTTACCTAGTTTTTCCTCAACGTAGGAGCAGACGACGAGCTGGTGTTATTTTAGGATTATCATGATAATAACCAAGAACAGTCAGATCAGTTTCTGAATAAAATAAATTAATAAATTAATTAATATATATATATATATATATACATATATATATATATATATATATATATATATATATATATATATATATATATATATATATATATATATATATATATATATATATATATATAGTCTTGCATGGTAGTCACAAAGTTTTTCCCATAAACTGTTGTTTTAAAGAGGGCGTTAATAAGCCTAACCAGAAAATGTTAAAAAGCTTCAAAAAAAATTTTTTTTTTTTAACGATAGACTTTTTTTAACGATATTTTAAATATATATATATATATATATATATATATATATATATATATATATATATATATATATATATATATATATATATATATATATATATATATATATATATATATAAAGCTCATAATAGAGATATTGTAATTGTAACGATACTTGAAAATTAAATGCTGATAAACATTTATTTCAAACACATTCATCATTTTCATATCACTCATTAAGGGTTTAGCGTATTTACGCCTATCCTTACAGTAAATGATTCTGCAAGCATGTTTTTGCAAACTATACAGTTTTTTAAGCTTTGATGTTTGAGTACTTGCCCATGAAATGTTTGCATAGCTGATGAAGCTATCTATTAGCCCAAAGTAGATTAATTTCAGACTTTGTGTATTGACGTAAGAGCGAACTCGATACATCAAACCTATGATTTTGGTGATTTTTGACTGGATGTATATTATATGAGGAACTCAGGATAAATTTCATCAACAATGATTCCTAAGAATTTTATATTGGATTGCTTTTTTTAATTAGTTTATCATTTAGGAATAGTTTAGGCATCAGACCTTTTTCATTTTATATTGGATTGCTTATATTGGATTTTTATATTGGATTGCTTATATTGGGTTTTTATATTGGATTGCTTATATTGGGTTTTTATATTGGATTGCTTATATTGGGTTTTTATATTGGATTGCTTATATTGGGTTTTTATATTGGATTGCTTAAATTGGGTTTTTATATTGGATTGCTTATATTGGGCTTTATATTGGATTGCTTTTTAATTAGTTTATCATTTAGGAATATGTTAGGCATCAGAGGAATTAGATCTAACTCATTTTTTTGATTTGTGGAAATAGAATAAAATAATTCTAACCTCGCGATTTGTAAATGTTTGAACAATTCAAACAATTGTCTCTGTACACTTTAAATATTCTTTTCGCGACTAAAAGTCTGACGATGGCACGTTGTTTTTCTACGGTTCAATTCTTAGGCGGACTTTTCATTGTTAACTGGATAAATTTGAGGTTACGTTTACAAAATATGATTAAATAGCGGTTCAGATGGCATCGCAAGGTAGCCAACTTTACATCCTGAAAGTTTGATATGAGTCAATTTAACCATTATTGAGTAATATTAAATTGTCTCGTTAATTATTTAACAGCCCCTCGTGTAATTATTTTTTTTAAATCAAATAAAATATATTCGCATTTAATATTCATCTGTTCTTGATTACCAGCTGAAATATTTAAGCTGATAAATTTTTTTAAAAAGCTTACCTGGAAAATTTTGAACCTACCGTAAGACCGTGAGAATTATAATTTAACCGCGAGACTCACGCTAAAACCTGGAGAGTTGCAATTGACAAAAAAAAAGATTTTCAAAATACAATGCACAATTCTAATATAATAATAAAAAAAGCTTACATAAATATTTCCATTAAATCAAGAAAATAAATAGTATCAATGTAATTTTAACGATAGTCATTCAAATATATTGACAATTCTTTTAAATATAAAAAATTAAAGACAATCAAACAAATAAAGAACTAAGAATTGAATTCGATGTTCGTTTAGAAAAAAAATTAAACAGTTATTTTTTCATTGAAAATTCATTTTTTATTAGAAACTCAAAGGATTTCAATGAATTTATCGTATTTAAACTCATTGGTTTTTAAAAAGTTTTTCCTAGTTTTGGACCACGGTATGCTATTCCATATTAAGAACATTTGTAACTTATTTTTGATATTTAAAAGTATTCTATTGGTTTATTAAAAAATAATACTTTTTGTTTGCATTTATGGTAAATTTATGATTAAAGTTTTTGGAATCAACTTGTTATTGTAATTATACGTAAACATTAAGTTTTGGTAACTATTGATTTCATAAATATTCATCATTTGCATGTCTTTCATTAATGATTTTGCATGTTCACATTCTTTTCTTATAAATAAATCTGAATGTATGTTTTTGTCAAACTTTATTAAGTTACATATAGTTCCCTATATAAATCATATTTTCTACAAGAATTCCTAAGTATTTTATGAACTAATTTTTCAATTAGTTTATGACTTTAAATCAAATTTTGTAATTTCTTATTGAATAAAGTATAATTTGGTTTATCTACATTGAGTAAGAGTTTATTAGCCTTAAACCATTCATTGACATTCCTTAATTCAAAATTAATGTCAGAATAAAGTTGTTTAATGTCACTGTTTAAAAGATCTAGTTAGCTGATTCATTATTTAAATCATTTACATAAATCAAGAACAGCAGTGAATTAAGAATTGACCCTTGTAGGACTCCGCATATGACTTTTAGTTCTCCTGATTTATTATTAATAACATAGTGTTTTTTTTCTAAGGAAGTTTTCTTGCTAAGGAAGTTTTTTAACCAATCATAGGTTTCACTAAGGAAGTTTTTTAACCAATCATAGGTTTTATTTATCACTCAGTAGTGTTTTATTTTTTCTATAAGAATGAGGTGATCAACCCTACCAAATGCTTTTGAAATGTCGATAAATAATCCTAGAAGTGATGTTATTATTTTCAAATCCTTTAGTAGTCCCCTATTTAAATTATTTCGTGTTCAGTTAAATGATTTTTCCAAAAACCAAACTGTTTTGTATAGAAATAAATCCCTGGTGCGCTTTCAAGCATAATAAATACTTTGTGATTTTGTCTTTGATACCATTTGATAGCACTGGAATAATTTCGCTTTGAATATTGTTACCAAAATGGTGAACCTGTCTTCATCATGGTCTTTCATCTCATTTCATTGTCTTCTAATCTCATTTTGTGTTTTTATGAGATACTTATTCATGATTGGATCAAAGAAGAAAAGAAGTTCTACAACTTGAATGAAATTTCCATTATCATAAGCATAAAGTTTACCACGAAAGTTGTGTGCAACGAGAACTCTTACAAGAGATATAACTCACTTAAAATCTGATTCAAAGTCATTTCTTTATCTTTAAGCTTTTCTGTATTTACGCTACCAATAGTTCAGTTTGTCTTCAGAATTTCACAGAACCGCTTCCAGGTGAGTTTGAAATGTGAAGATAGTTACAACAAAATGATCAAATAAAATAAAAAAACAGTCAGAAAAATAAATAAAAAAAACAAAAACGATCCTTTATGTTAAACTATTACTTTCTATAGATACTGTGTATCTTTTTAATGTATTCTTTTATTACTTTCTATTTTTTCTTTAGTTCTTAAATTTTTGAGTTGATTTTATTGTATTTTGTAATTTATAATTTTAATAATTTTATGCACGAGTGATTAAATTTATTTGTGTGATTATATGTGTTTTTATGGGTGATTATATGTATTTTTTAAAAAAATAAAAAAGTCTTTTTTATTGTTTTTTAAACAAAATTTTAAATATTTAATCGATGAATAGTGTTCGAAACATGTTATATTTTTATTAATAAAATGGTTTTAAAGAAATTTGTCTTGTTTATTAAAATTCACACACACACACACACACACACACACACACACACACACACACACACACACACTCACACTCACACACCTACGCGCACGCACACATATACACACACGCACATATACACAGATTTAGGTTGTATTAACGTTAGATTAAAGTTGGAAATGGAATGGATGAATAAAGTTAGATTTTACAACGTTAATCAATGTTAATCCACTTCGTAATTTCGATGTAAAAGCAGCGTGTTTTTTAAGTAAGTTGGCTGTCATCGGAACTCGAACCAAATTACACGCTGCACTATATATTACTCTTACCTCTACTCTACACAATTATATGATTAAAAAATATTTACTTACATATAGTAATATTTTATTAAAAAAAACTAAGTACAATGTAATTCACTTTGTTTTGGTGGAAAGTCAAAACTATTAATTATAATTAAATTTTGTATTTATTTTTCAAAAATTAAATATTCAAAATTTCCATAGTTAAAAAATATATACTTTTTAATCACATAAATATTTACTTTGTCGAATTATAGACGAAATCCTCGTCAAAAAAAAAAAAAGTAGAATATTAATTAAAAATAATGTAAGTATTAATTAAAAAAAAATAAAAGTTAAACTCTGATAAGAAATAACGTTAATATAACTAACGTTATTACAACGTTACATTTAGTTGGTCGATGTCACCCAACATAACTCATAACATAATCTAATGTTGGTTCAACGTTGCGCACCCACTAGTTATATACCTTTATTAATATATATTAATAAAGGTATATAACTAGTGGGCGCGCAACGTTGATATAACGTTTAACGTTAACGTTTAATAAATTCATTATTCTTTAACTACATTCTTTGAAAAACTAACTTTATTTTAACTTATGTAACAAATATTAAAAAAAAAATTAAAAATATGTAACAAATATTTAAAAAAAAAAAAATTTTTTTTTAATATTTGTTACATAAGTTAAAATAAAGTTAGTTTTTCAAAGAATGTAGTTAAAGAATAATGAATTTATTAAACAAGCGTAGCAAAACTTTTTTTTGAAATTGTGAATACACATTCATCTTCTTGTAACGATACAATAAAACCAAATAAAAAATTGAAAATTTATAGCTTTTTCTTGCATTTATTTTATAAGTTTTTTTGCAGAGTCAAAAGTGCATAATTTACTTTAATATTTTTGTAAAAGAAAAAAAAAATTTTTTAGCAAAATGAAATTTCAAATATGTATTATTATTTACTCATTGGTTAGATTTGTGAATGGTGAAGTTCCAATTAATTTGGCAAAGCTGACTGAAGGAGCATTCAACATTTGGACAATTTTAGATTATCACATAAATAAAATGACAAACTACAAAAAATTGAATGACGAGTTTAAGAATATATCTGAAAGTATTACGATCAGAAAAGTAAACACTTCTAAGACTAGCGAAAAATTTATAAGTGGTGTTAAAGAAATTTTAGCGACAAAAGAAATGTTATTGAAAAAATTGAAAGAAAACGTGACTGCTTTAAAAAATGAGTACTCTTATGACGAAAAAATCGATGACTTTGATTACCCGACTTCAAGAAACATGAATGTGTCGAGTGATAGCAATACAAGTTATGTTGTAGTAGTGAAAGAATTTCCGACTGACGTGGCCATAAATAGAGATAGAAGCTTTGTGCACGTTCCTACAAACATATATGAAAAAAACAAAAATGTACTGAACGTTGTGAAGTGGACGGAAAACCTTGATGATATGTTCATAGAAAATCAGAATATCGACAACGCGACTATTCTTCAATACTATTGCGACAAATCAGGTAAATATTTTTTTTCTAAAAACCATCATCTAAAATAAAAATTATACAAATGGATAACTATTTTATTTTACTCTTAAAATTTTATCATTAAGTTCATAGAAATAGTATAATTATAATGGTATAGAGAAGATAATAGCATGTTGTTAATAGCAACAGTGTTGTGATGTCGTTGCAAACAATGTCGTAATGGCTTAGCAGGCGCGATGTTAAAAATGAAGTTTTAACTTGTTCGTAAACTAGGTTACTTAATATCAAAACCAAGAATTACACGAAGTAAAATTTTGCTTGCAAGTATTAATGGAAAAAATTTTTAACCAAAAAACGAACTGTTAAGTTTTATTTTTTTAAAGATTTTTTAAACAGATTATAGAGCACTCTGTTTTTCAAAATTAACAAAAAACAATAAAGACAAACTATTTTTGCATGAATTTTCCGGTTTTAAGTTATTCTGGTGAAAATTTTTCACTTGGAAAATGCCATATTTGAGTTATTGTTTGTTACAATTTATTTCTTATCTAGAAGATGTTTTCAACGGGTGTTTTCCCAGAATGGCAAATACACGTTTTAAACTAAAAGTTTGTTGCTATGGTCTAACCTACCCTAGGTATTCAGTTGTTTGGAAGCTACATCGAATGAGGGTTTGATTTGGGGCAGCAATCTTTTCTTTCATTATTTTTCGTTTTTTCTTCTTCTTTTTCGTATAAAATAATGTAACAAAAATAACCCACACTTCTTTTCTAAAGGATCTTTTTGCTATGCAAGCTTCTAGCTATAGAGGACTTTTTTTAGAAATTGACGATTGTGCCTTTCCATTTCAAAACCCGTTGTTGACCTTGTTCACGTTGGGCGACGATTAACCAAAAATACTCAATAGATTGTAATTCTGGGACACAAACAAGAATATCAACTTTTGTATCATAATGGAATTTATTTTTCAAGCAGGTAAGTGTTCACACCTCTTGCATAGTCTAAAGTCAAGCCAAAATTAATAACTGTGGTGTTTGTTAATAAAAAAAAGCATTCTTTTGATGATGCGACCATTTTTATTCACTGTTTGATTAATGGCCAGTCCCGCAAAAATGAAAAGAAAAATAAAACAATAGTTTTGAAATTTGCTAAAAACTTTTTTTTTGGTCCAACTTTTCACCACCAACTTTAATTGAAGCAGAATTAATAGTAGTTTAACGATTATCGGAAAATTTCAACTTGTCTGTCGCAGAAGTGATGTTCTCGGATTTCATGGTTCTTTTGATAAGGTGAAGAGTACAAATTTTGATACTCTATTTATTGGAATTTCATAATTCGAGTCCCATCTTAAAAAAACATTTTATTTTTAACATCAATATTTACCTCTACACTCTGTTCATCATTATTAAACTTGGAGGTTCGAGTTATCAGGGTTTAACTCTACATATTTTTTTACGTTCATATGTATGACGATTCTTCACAAAAAAAAATATTACTATGATAGGAGAATGGGAACAAGAAACCCTAAAATCTTAGCCCCCTTCCTTCCCCAAACGTGAGAGCAACAAGTTGATGAAATATTTTTTATACTATTTTCAACTAGACTTATATACATCGAGAAATTTTAAATTTCATAGTAAAATATTTTAGTGTTCAAAAATTAAGACCATATAAAGTTTAAACGCCCCTCAACTTGAAGGGATTGCATATTCAAGGTGTTTTTTAATACTTTTTTTTTAACTCCTACCTTTACACAAGCAGAAAAAACGCAAGGTCGCACTAGGCCGCAAAAGTGATATAGTTTAAATTACACTCTCATATATAGATAAAAATTTACAACCAAATTTTCTGAGCTCAGCTGAGCGCAGTAGGAGCTAGGCTTTTTATTATAAATGATACCCAAACGTAGATTTTGATTTAAAAACTGAAGAAGTCGCATAAAGAACAGTTTTAATGAAAGTTTGGGTCTTATTTGTTCTCAGCCTTCAATCATCGCAATTTTTTGCAAAGCATTATTATTTGACAAGTAATAACATACAATTGTTTAGAGTTTGCTCAAACACCAAAAAATGCTGGATTTGTCACTGACGAGAATATTAATTATTTGTATTTATGAATGAAAAAAGTTTTTATTTATGGAAAAAGAAGAGTTTAGTTTAGTAAAAAGAAATGAGTTTGTTTACGAGAAAAAAAGTTTTGGGATTTCTCGTTGTGTTGAAAGTGAGAAAACAACATCATCTAGTACTTTCAGTTTTAATGTTGTCCAAATAACTTTTCTAAAATGCCGTTTTCATTTAGAAAATTGTATTTTAAATGTGTCAAATGTGTTTTGTTCATTTAAATAACGCCCATAAAATAGAAAAACAGTAATATAATTGTGACAAATAGTCATTTCACACACTCTAATATTGTTTTAGACTAAAACAACAGAGAGCACTACACAATGAAATTCTCCAGGCCTCAAACAAATTATAATCGTATGATGAAAATACTTTGCAGCTACGTTACAAAGGTGTCCAGAATAAGAAGGAATCAGGAAAAAGTCAAAGACTTCATTTTCCTGATTTCAATAAAAAGATTTAATACTTACTGATATTAAGACGTGTCTCATCTAAAACATAGGAAAATCTATGGAACACACTTAAACACTACTAAAATGATCGTTTGAGCGGTCTTAACCACTTCTAAAGACCGAATATGCCAAAATTTGAATTCCCTGACAGCAGTTACCTATATTTAGATATACAACATGTCCAATCTAATTTAAAAACAATTGAGAAACCCCATGACCATCCTTGAGAATCCCTAAAATAACTACTTGTATAGTCATGGCCACTCCAAAATTAAAATGGAGCCCAAAAATGAAATCTTTGGCCCCAAAAACTTCTATAAACATGTATCATATGTCTACATTTAACCCATAAATAGTTTTGTCATTTTTTAGACAATTCTGGCCCACTTCTAATACTTTTTAATATTAAATTTGAAAACATAACTGCATAAATTAAATTTAAACTCTTAACATAATTAAACAATTTTTGGCCAGGTACTACTTAAATCTGCAATTAAACAAAAGCTATAAATTCAAGCATTGCAAGCAAAATATGGGTTGTCCTCAGGAAAACGGTGGATTTAATCTTGTTTTCCAAGAAATCAAATGTGTCAAGGAGGGTGGAAACAACTGTGTGGAGAACGAAGTCCAGAGACTTTGGGAGTTTTTTCAGACTGGTTCAGTAATAAAGTTACAATTTTTTCTTCTTCTTTGCTTCTATGCAATATTCATCATTTAAACATTTCATGATTATTTATTTTATAATTTGAAAGCCTGAAAAAACTTTGCAAAATTAGATTAGATTAAAATTTATTAGAACAGTGAGTGATACATGTTCTAAAGGACAAGCATGTCCATAAAATTTCAAGGACTCTGTCAACGTACCCGACAATCACAAAATACATATACGAGATAATTTTCAATATATATATATATATATTGAAAATTATATATATATATATATAAGACGGTTTACTAAGAGAATTGCTAACCTAAATAACTTTTCATATTTAAAATAGACTTAGAACTCTTGGTTTGAAACTACTAGAAATTCACATAATATATATGCGAGATAATTTTCAATATATATATATATATATATATATATATATATATATATATATATATATATATATATATATATATATATATATATATATATATATATATATATATATATATATATATATATATTATATATATATATATATATATATATATATATATATATATATATATATATATATATATATATATATATATATTGAAAATTATCTCGCATATATATTATGTGAATTTCTAGTAGTTTCAAACCAAGAGTTCTAAGTCTATTTTAAATATGAAAAGTTATTTAGGTTAGCAATTCTCTTAGTAAACCGTCTTTGTACTCTTTCCACTGTTTTGTTCATTTCAGTGCGGTTCGACGACCAAACCGGAGGTCAATGTTCTGAGATCGGTCTTATATAGGTAATGTAGGTCTTTACGATAACACGTGAATCACGACTTTTAAAACACTTAAGGATTAGATATCCTCAAATGTTTGATGCGCGGACGATATTTGAAATATGATTATTGTAATTTAATTAAGTATCCATGATCACACCAAGATCTTTTGGGTACGTAGACCAGGTTAAATTATGATCTCCTAATTGATAGCTGTAATTTTTATCTTTACAAAATGAACTTGGTGCTATTGTATGAGTAGAGCACTTATTATTGATTTTTAACTGCCATTTTTTTAACCAGAACAGCAAGATCGTGACTGTCATTGGCATCCTTAAATGAACTATATAGTTAGATATCGTCAGCATATAACATTAGAGAGCAATTATAATCTTTTACTATAGAAGCTAGATCATTAATATATAACAAGAATAACGTTGAACATAGATCTTTTGGATAAAAAGCCGTTTTTATCCAATGTTATTAGATTATTTATATTAAGATAATCAGCGATACTTGAACTAACAATACTTTCCATGACTCAACAGCTAGTGCATGTGAGGGATATAGGTCTATAATTGCTAGCATCTGAAGTAGATCCTTTTTTGAAAATAGGGTAAACCGAAGCTTGAAGCCACTGTTTTGGTAACGAGCTTGACGTAAAATTTGATTCAAATATATATAAAAGCAGAATACATATTATATGTGCTAACTGTTTTAAAAGTATATTTGGTATACCGTCCATACCGTATACAGGTCCAAATGACATGCTAGGTTTTAGATTTTTTAGTTTTTGATGAACTATCTTTGCTGAAAAATCTACGAAATCCATCTTGATGCAGAAGAAATACAAAAATATTTATTGAGTGTCAAAAGTTAATTAAAAAAAAGCGCAAACAAATCAAAATTTGTTTTAAGAAAAATTTTGGTTTTTGATAAATCTAGATCAGAGGAAAAGTTTAACGATGCTTCTTCTTCGATGGCTTCTTTTTAGGTTTTATGTATGTCCAATGGTTCCTAAAAAGAAGAATAGTAGCCT